CGGACCGATTTGTATTGTATAAAGAACGAGATACAGTTTTACAAACTTTAACGTTACAGAAGCGTAAGTAAGTTAACTAGATTGCTTTATTTGTGAGCATCATCGTTCATTCCTTATCGTGTTTCCTATGCCATGCAGGGCAGGCTTGCAATGAATTCACCGATATCTGCGGTGGATATTTGGCCGGCCAGCAGTTCTAAGCTATTAAAATCTCAGAATATACAATACTGTAGGATCTGTAACAACTTTTGCTCCTCGGTTATTTCATAACGGTGAATGTTGATGTTAAAATGAGCGTAGATCAAACATGACTACGTACGACCCGCACAACTCTTGGCCTGATACTGCAAAAAGCTGACACGACATCAAAGCCATTGAGAGTCTAGTAACGGAGGAATATCATGACGGAGTCTGCCTCAAGTCACACGGTTGGTAATCGATGAAGGAACATTAAGATTTAAATTGATGTTGTACCTAAATGTTATCGGAAATTGAGTTTGATTTTATTTTTTCATTTTGTTGCATTTCTCTAGAGTTTGCCAACTCGAGGAACACTTCTTCGTTCGTTTCGTAGTCCTTGATTCAACCGGTATCGTCTTATATCGATATATACTGTTCTTTCTTCAATTGACAGATGTCCCTTGGAGTCAGCTCAGAAGGTAATCATCACAAGAAAATATCGAGGTTCTATTTCTAAACTTTAGCTTCTAAATACAAACTAGTTTAGTCGATACGTTATCAGTTGCTATTAACTGCTAAAGTAACTCGTACATACGTATATATATATATTCAATTGTGGAAAAAGTTCCATATCTAAGTGAATAGGAGTCGGGTCGACGTGGGTATCATTTGAAAGCTACAATCTGCCGGTAATAGATGTGGGAAGATTCAAATGTCTTTATTCTGACTTGAGGCACAACGCCTCGTAAATGAGCGAATTTTCTCTATGTTACAATTTTATGACGATAAAATAAGGTCCAATTTCATTAAAAATGGCTTTAATTTCGAAACTTTCTATATTGTTCTCTGATAAAATGTTTTGCGCAGCAAAAAATACTCCTCGACCAATTGCGTAGGAAGTTCCACCAAGAAACTAAAAATCGGTTTTATATTACATAAAAAAAAAAAGCTGGCTACAAACAAAAAACTCGATGCGAAAAATGATTGACTCGGTCGTATTTTCACCTACAAAACTCCACAGAATCGCAACGAACTCGAGCCCCCTTTTTACGGTCGATTACGAGTGATGAAAAGTCGGTCACACATAATCACAGTGCGAAAATATTTGTCGCAAGCTCAGATTGACAAATCAGGTGAAATTGGGAAGGGATCGTCCACTATAAGTTGCCATCACCCGGCAAAACGACTGATAACAACAACTAACAAGTTATTGTTGGTAACAACCCTAACAGCAAACGCGTCGTTCCCTAGCATGACAATGCCAGACCACATACATGTCAGTTACCCAGGAAAAACTAGTACGAGAATTTTAAAGGGAAATCCGCCGTAGAGCCTGGATTGTATATCGGCTATTTCGCTCTCTACAGAACTTATTTAATGGCGACAAGTTAGTTTCAATGTAGGGATATAAAAACTACTTCTCATAAACTTCCAGCCATATAGTTCGACAGTGATGGAATTACGATGCTGCCAGAAAAAAGTGCAAGTTGGCGCATATTTAATTTAATGATGCTATCTTATAATAAAAAAAAAAAAAAAAACGTTTGCTTCAATTTCGGCTTAAAATGGTCAATACGTATTCAATAGCCCTCTGTTAACGATGTTTATGCTTTTTAAGGGGCGGAGTTTATGTACCGTGCTTGTAAGACTTGGTATAGTGCTAGGGGACGTTTACATTTGATTCTAACAAATATTGATTCTACTTGTGTGCTTTTTTCAATTGTTCTTACATAAGTGTCGTTCAGCTGGTGCTACATTTTGTATTATTGGGTTAGCAGACATAAATCCCTATGCTTTCAATTTTGGCAGCTCTAAGATCCTGTAAACGGCCTCGATATTTAGTTTGATTGGGATTAAACTGATTGACAGATATACATTTAGAGGTTTTCAGGGGGTTTCAAACAATATTTACTGTCGAATCGTTCAAAAAAACATCGTTATAAACAGGCTCATTCATTGTTTTTAAAGTGCACTCTTGGCTTTTTAAAATATATCAACTGCATATTGTGTGCGCTTGGTATTGACCTAAACGTTCGCAGATCCATTTTTCATAGAGATAGGCCATCTAAATAACTGTATGGGTGCTTCATTTAAAACCATCTACAATCAAATTCCCATCGATACATCGTTTAAATTTCCGCGCTTGCCTCAACGAAACGAAAACAAGGTAACGTGGAGCATCATGTACAGATGAACCGTAAACGATCGGCATCATTAAGCCTCTCTTCTTCGGACGGTAAATTCGTCACTCTGTGTACAAAATTGGCATTCTATCTTCCGATCTAGCGCTGCGATCGAGAACGTGTTCTCGAGTGAATACAGTTCCGCTGCCCCCGCAGTTTTGAGGGTACGTTACCGCAAATGAAATTGTGTATACTTGAAAGATGAGTGCACCAAAAGCATATAAGTTGGAGGTAATCTCGACGTTTGTCAGAAACACCAAAGACCTCAATTCCAATGGAACAAAGAAAAAAGCCATCGTAAATAAGCACAGAAACTCGAGCAATGTGGCCGGGACGAGAATCACGACATAGACATGATTTTAATTCAAAAGGCAAGTCTAATTATTAGAAATCAAAGCTACGGAGAACAGTTGCTAAATAGGATCGGTTAAGTTAAAAACTGGATGCCTAAAGAGATAGTCTTGTTTAAAAGATTACTGCCGATCTTGGAAGTTAAGACTAAAGCGATAGAAGGCATCGCCCAAATAGGAAGTAAGCTTGCAGCATCGTTTATAGGTCATCTTTGATTTACACGATGTCCGACATTCGGATCTAGAGAACTGTAACGGGTAGATGTAGCCGGTTTTCCTACAAAAAGTACACGTTTGTCTAGATACTATACGTAACGTACAATATATAAACGCATGTGGTGAAACACTGCGTGACCAGCAAGAGAAAATTACGTCTCAGCGTTCACGATCATTGTTTCAGGTGAAGCGTTCAATTACGACGGTCAAATATTATGGCTAATATAGAAATATATTACTTTGTATATGGAGCTCGTAAATAGAATAAAAAATATTCGGAAACTAATGCTCTGGTGGTGTTATTAAGTCGATTTAACAATTGCAATAAAAACATTGTTTAGTAATCACTTACTGGGACCACTGTGCTGAATGTTTATACGTGCCATTTTTTGTGGAAATAAGTTAAATCAGGCCAACTTCCGCCGGCATTTTCCCAAAGATCGCTATCGCTTGAACTACTCACTCTAGTTTCGTCTTATATGCGCTCCCAGCTAACTTTTCTCGAAAAGTTAGAGGCAATTGGTCGAACTTGATATTATTGTGGCTGAACCCATTGCCATTGGCGAGTCCATTATTTGCATACGATATAATATACCTTATGATTATTTATTATTAGATATAATTGCAAACGTAACGAAGTTACTCAACTGTGCTGTCTTTTTTTAATATTTTATATATACGTATGTAATTTTCTCATAAGTTGTAACTATGTTAGTTAGCTTTAATTGAAGATAAAAAAAAAAAAGCCATTTGGATAGTTATTTTTTAAAAAATAAAAATTCTGCATGAGAAGGTGCACTACAGTTTATTTCAGCATATTTAAACATCAACTGCACCACTCATATATAGATCTGAACCGTTCAAGGTATATGCAGAGGTGGGATGTCCTGCTGTGCATAGAGTACCCTGAATTTCCCAAGCTAATGTACAGCTCAATGCGATATACAGGGGTCCGGATGCATTTTCGTATTTGGATGACTGTCATCTAATCGCACCTCAGTAATTCACCAAGAGTCTAAACAGATTTCTTCCCTAGTCAAGTTCTTTGTTGACTATTGTCAGCGCCAGGATAACTTACCAAAATGAATGCTTGCGTTTTCAAATAGAGTCATCTGCAAGTACTTTTCGCAAAATTGTACGTCTTTTACAAAAAAAAAAAAGAATGAAACGAACTGGAACGCACATGAGGGTCGCTTGGCTACGAAGCTGGCGCACTCGGCTTTATGGTACACTCGGTATTATGCAAGGAGGCTCCAGAGATGAGAGTCAAAACACATCGCAGGCACGTAAGGAACAGCCCATAAAACATGTCCTGTCGCTTTTTAGCCATGGTCCTACTCGATAATGCAAGTTTGCTCGAAGCTATATAATTTAATTGGCGCCATTTTTAAGAAGCTCGACACACCGAATGTACCAAACCTCTCCATTATCAGTCCAACTATACGACACTTTCCACCGAACAAAAGTAGAGTTCACGTACATATCAATCGCACTAGCGCTCTTTTTCTTTGCTTTAAATTGGAACTCTCTCCATCTACCACACGCGTATTTGGTTTACGATATAACGATTGAATCTACTAGAAATATGCTGCCTGATATACTAATGGAGATAGTTAATAAAAGTCTTATTACATTGCTGTTAATTATGCTTACATTTCGCAAAATAGTCAAACGTAAGTTTATCTAATGACACCAGCAGTGTATCATGTGAAGAGATGACTTTGTAACGAATGTCCTCTGCATGATTTCTACGTTGACCACTCATTGCTAATCTGTCACCAAGTAAAAGTGACAATGAAGCTATCGTCTACTGTCTTTATCGCTTGGTAAGTAACTAGTGGTCTATGCGAGGGCTTCGGTCCCAGCCCAGTTGACAAATTTAGGCACGATGAAGGTGAATTTAGGTGGCCTCTGTACCTTTGAGATGTACCCAAATTGAGTACCAAGTACTCCGTATCGGCAGTTCACTCTTTAGCAAGGCCTGTCGTTGATATTTTCGGGTTACTGTGATAGTGATGTACGCGTACTTCGTATGTACATTTAGGTAATTCTATTGTGTAAACCGGTTAGTCAGTGACGGAAAGCACGCCGCTCGACATTGCCAACATGCACATGTTACAAATCGTTACAACCTGCAAATGAAACTCAACATAATACCCCTTACAGGAGATGCTTAATTGTGCAAAACGTTTGAGTCTAGTCAGCGTGTCGAGTCTTTTTGTAAGAAAAAAAAAGGTTAGCGCGTCTTCTTGCGACACTTGGCAGTTGCGGCTGATGAGTGTTTCTTGTCTTTGGCAACGAAGAACATCGTAGGACCGTGTTGTTGACAATTACATACGAAACTATTCTAACTACAGCATTGTGAATTTTGATATACCGTTGTGCCAAAGGGGAAGAATATCATCAAATGAAGATTGCAGGTTTGTTGCTTACTGCAAATCGCTTTATTCGCTTGTTTATTGGTTTTGTCTGCGTGATTCATTTTTAATTTGATTTCTATTTGATGTTGTAATGATGTTTGTGTTGTTTCACCATTAGCCGGGACTAATAATGCGCTTCAGGGGCCTACCTGTTGATTTACACGTCGCCGAGTCTGACTTGACGCCAGTAACTCCATGCGTACTACTTCTGCCGTGCGCGAATTGCAATTACGTGAATCCATCGTTCCTTGTGTGCCTTAAAAATCACATAATATGCAGGCCGTGTTCAGTGCAAAGCACCTCGTCCGCGAGCTCGGCGTGGTGCCCGATGTGCAGGCAGGTCGTTACGGTCACCGCGGTAACCATTGATCGAGACATGTTGGCCCAGTTACGGTTCCGTTGTAGGTGTGGCCTAGAGCGCACGTTGCCTGATCTAAGAATGCATGTTTTAGAGAAAGGAGTTCACGAGCTGCCAGCCGGGAAAGTCAGCTCACCTGATTTACCTACCGGATCCGCACAACCGGAGATGGTTGAATCTCGGCTCAGAGCTATCGCAGTAGAGGAATTCAAAAGGCTTAAACACGAACTGGAGCATCCAGAGAAAGCGGAAGACGAGAAGCACGGACTTCTGCAGAAAATCGAGGCAGATAGAACGGAAATACTGCAAAAAACCGAAGAGGATAAAAAGGAATTACTGCAGGTTATTGAGAAGGCTAGCGTCGGAGCGAAATCTGCTGTTAACGTGGAACACCTTCAGGAGACTGTCAACGCGCTTAAGGACGATATTGAAAACCTGAAGCACTGCAGGCCCGCAACAGCACAAAGAGCCTACTTTTGGTTCGACTTTGATGACTTAAGCAAACGCTTCCAAAATGCCCATGACGGCGTGAAGAGTGAGCTGCAACATTCGTTCATAGGAGGTATACCCTTCCAAGCCTGCATTAAACTGTGGTCAGTTGATAAGAAAGAATATCTCGATATATGCGGAGGCCGCGCGGATCACCACGAGATTGATATACCCTTGCCTTTAAACCGAAAAGTCGTCTTAACGATCCATGATACCAACGGGAAAGTGTTTGCAACGAAATCTTGCAATTCCTATATTAGTGGACAGTACTTATTCCGCTTTGGGTCTAAAGAAGCTGGCCTCTCAAGAACTACCAAACTGATCGAGGTCAGCTTACTTACAAAAAATTGCCTCATCAACGGAAAAATGTTAACATCGATTGAACTACAGCCTATGGATTCGTAGAACTTCACGTAAGGTACTTGCGGGCTCGGAATAGAACTGCTTGCTATCGTAAAAATTCTTGAGGAGAAGGTAGGTAAACTTCTGTGGCCTGTTGTCATGGGCCTGATGCGGCTGTCAAACATAATGGTGCAATTCACTTCAAGCATGGAGTAAAAATAGTCCTACAAAACCGCCATGTCTAGGCCGTCATGCATGCCGAAGAATTAACATGAGTTGAACTAACCGGCAGCATTGAAACGATCTTTTGATGGAGCAAGCAAGACTATGTTGACAATCAAATAAATCAAAATCCACTGCACTTTTGTTGTACGTAGGATAGCCTCTGATTTAGTAGACAAACAATCGATTTGCACCGCTGGGAAGTCTGCAGCGTTTGTCATGACTATTTCGTATCCTTTAGGTTAAATAAGCAACCATATGACTGGTGTTATTAATGGCGTAAGCTCAAGCAAGTGGTTGTTCCACATGAAAGTTGGGTTTCATAGATTCGTTTAGCTTTTTCTATTGCTGATTGGAGGCCCAGATTAATATCGACAGCATTTCTGGCTGCTATTATTATTATTACCATGGCAGCAAAATGATGTAGTTGCGCTACGTGGCACCTTATCGAAAATCATCTCCAAGAGGTTTTTTGCTAGCAAAAAATTCGAATTGGATTTTCGAAATTAACTCCTCTTGGTGGTCGTACCCTGAAATTCGTATGAAAGTTTTGAATTTATGACAGCTCTTTAATACGGGGGTTACGAATAAATTTTGACACTGAAAACAAACGTTTTCTGAATACGTGAACGTGAAATAACTGTTATTATGTAAGAAACTAGCTCACTAGCTACAGGTTTATTTTTGGGAAACGACAATTTTTTGCCAATAAAAAAATATTGCCGGCAAAGAAAGTGTTTACGGCGAGTACAATTCGCCATTCAACTTCATTGTGGATCGCTCTTACTGAAAAATCGCTACTCAGAGGGTTTACACTGGAGACCAGCTATTGAAGACGAATTAGCTATTGAAGTTTAAAGGGTGTTTGGTCTCTGCAAGCATGGAAATGTGCTTGATGTAGGTGTAGTACCAGAGCAGCCTGAGTCCAAATTTCCTTCAACTTCATCTCAAATAGCATAGAATAAATCAGCCCTCAAGAACAGTCAAATCAATCCTCATTAAAAAGGATTAGAGAGGTAACAGATTTTTACTTAGATTACAATATGAGTAGTCAAAAAGCGGTTAACCATAGCTATCCCATCCAGTCTTCTTACTAAGAGATTTTTTGCCGCGTTATATTTTTCGACAAATCTAATCAATAAGCTATAATTAAAAACAATTTTATTGTTCTTAATGTTGTTCACTATGATTTCCGTTTGCGTGAAAAGATCGTACTTCGGGGCTACATATATTGTACTAATAAAAGCATTCAAAGCTGCCTCCATCTGAGGCATATTTTTACGGACCTGTTTCTCACCCTTAAGTCTATTGTATCCTTCATGTTTACTGATTCCCAGAAACGCATCTTGATGCCATCTACTTTGCAACTTGAAATATTGTTAGATGGCCTAACTTCATATCATTCCATGTTGTTTCAACTATGAGGTAGAACGACATCGATTTGTCGAATCGTGGGCAGCTCGGTTATACATAGAAATATAGTTGAAATATGCTCAACTTTATTATTCAGTATATTGTGGCTCTGTGAAGAAAGCGAGGACAGTCTCGTCTCTACTTATATCTAATCTACACCCAGCGTTGTCCAACCCTCGCAAAAAGTATACCTAACCCTTTACTGCTTATAGCGGAGTATCGCATCACTTTTTGACTGTCCTTTCTTACAATTGATTTCCTTCCGGTCTCTTGTGATACCCGACATCGCCATAACCATAATTATGTGACTAGGTACATTGTTCATTACTCAGAATTCTATTTCCCTCGATTCGATGGGTTTCCGCTCGCAAAGCAGCGAAGGGCATATTCATTAAGGATCTGTTTCGGCATAACAAGTAGGACAACATACCACTCTGTATCAGTCTCTTCATCCATCTTATATCGCAGATATGCATGGCACAGTATGTTTGCCATTCGACAATGTGGGCAATTCTACACCGATAACTTACGTGTTCGTAAATAGTATGGAGACTCCTGAAATGATTGATGTACTTGAATACGAAGAGCTAAAAGCTTACATTTATATGTGCGCCTACTCTAGACAATATCGAACCTGAAATATGTAACAGCTAAGGAGCAGGCCCGTCTCTAGGCGCAGTGAGCAATTAGAATCCTGATCATTCGCTCCCGATGTATTAATGCGATTCAAACGTTTCGCGCCACGACAGAGTCGGCGTCCGAGACGAAACAGTTAAGCTTTTGTTATGTTGTATAATATCTTTCTCTTAACATACATGTCCTAAGCGCTGAACTGTTGCGGTCTTCTTTTACAAGCTTTTTTTTTTACAACAAGCTACCGAACCATGTCCTTTGCTGGTTGCATGTCAGCTCGGATATATATATATATATATAGAAGGTTGTTTTAGACTTAATTGAGGAGATTGAACTTGTTGTTTGAAAAAATCGCACTAAATACTTTGCTTTCAATGGGACATTCTCAATTTCAGTGGGCTCTTCGTTTTACGTAGACAACGTCTACGCGATATGGTCGAAGCCACTGGACCTTTCTAATAGGAATTTTAAACCACCAGATAAATTTGTCTATAATTTACGTACAGTTAGAGAATAAGCAATAGCAAATTTAAAATGTATGATATATCTTTCGTGTAAAAACAGGTAGTCGGCGTATTTCATTATGGTTATTTGAGATAGTCTTGGCCCGGTCACCTCTTTGGCCTATATTTAAAACATAACAGCGAGCGTTAGTGTTTACGACCCAGTTTCGATGCTGTACATACCTGACAGGGTCGTGTCATTTGTCACAGCTCGAAATCGGTGCATCGGGAACGGAGAACTTCGCAGCTTTGTGTTATGGTACGCATGATAGGGATCACTCATGATTACAATTTTCGGTATTTTACACCATACAATAATAGAGTTAGGCATAGCTTATCGTTAAAATTGTTCAAACATATAAAGTAGGACATCTAATTCACAAAGATTACTACTGCTACGTTTTCATCGTTAAAAACAGCGATTGTGCTTACGGAAAAATTGATATGTTTGCTACTTAATCCGCATCAAGACGAGTTATTAGTTTATGTTTAAAGTGTTCGATGAACAGAGACACGCTAGAGCTTGTAGCTTCACAACTTTGAAGACACATTCTTCAGAAGGTGTAAGAGACCGAAGCGTCGAACACGCGCTCATGTTGCCACAGTTCATTGAAGCTTGAAATCCAACATTGCGTTTGACCTAATCGACTTACATAGGAGTTGCGAGACAATTTTTGGTTTGCCTCATAGAGGTCTTTCTCGACTTTTTTAAGAAGCCGTATCGAATTTAACAATGGATTTTAGAATGAAAATTAGGTTTTCAATATCGCTGAAGCTTCGGCCAGCGCGAAGATAGTAGGCCGTAGCTGTCCTTTGCTCGAGTTCCGAAAAGGGCATACAGTTTTCTATTATGTCGAGTAACTTTGTGGTATTACTCTAAGATGAGTAGATTTTCTTCTGGTAGTAAAACTAGCAGCTGGACGGATGCCCACCATAGTAAACAGCCCCTAGCAACGTTTACCGAATTCCTACCTCTTCTCTGCCGAGACCATTTTTGTTCACCGATATCGTCTAAAACATAAAAATGGAATCATATTATCAAGGACGTGTACTTCTAGCTGGGCTACTCTTTATTAATTATATATATTATGTTGTCCATCTGAAAATCTCCAAAAGTTTATATTGTCATTGGCCGTCCGTGGATAGTACCGTGACAAAGCCTAACAATTAATGCGCTATAGCCTCTTTCTGTGCCGTTCTGTAATCTTGTTGTTTTGAAACAATGTTGTGCTTCATTACTTTCTTGAAGAGCTCTGCTACGTGGCCCTGTATTTCGCTATATTCTCCTGTCGGACTGAATTTTTGGAGATAACGGGATTTGGGAACTTGCAACTATGCAAGCTTAAACCAAGTCATACTGTTTGTTTTAGAGCCTAGAAGCTCACTTTTGTACCTTCCCGGTCGTTCCCCCGCCATAACAGACCCATCACAATTTTTTTCCGGAGCATGTCAATAACAGTCCAGCATAACAACGCCCCAGTCGTCACAGTCAAAGCAGAGCTTTGACGGACCATTGTTGTGCACACCTTCTAGTCCTTGTAGCTTCACCACGACCTCGAAAAATTCCTACTTTCACTATACCCAAATGTTGACCCCTAGGTACTGCCTTGTTGACATTATTAATAACCGTGCTGAGCAACGGAGAAAAGTTTTAAATTTCTCGTTGCACCGAACTCTATTAGCTGATTTTCTTCGAAGTGAATTTCCAAAGATCTAATATTCCGGTCTCCTGAGGATAATTTATGATACTCTATATTTCATATCAGAAGCGTAAGTATTAAAAGTGTACTCGATACGATGATTTTATCTGCACATATGGACTATTATCAGCAGCTTTTCCATTGCATATGAACCAGAGCAAGATTTCAGTAAAAGGAACTGAACAATTTCGATGTCTGATTGGCCGGTCTTCTTATGTCTGACCACTTAAGTCGATTGTAAAAACGAATAAGGTCAACCACTTGTACCCTGTCCTGGTATCTTGCAGCCATTCACTACCTAGCTTTTGTGGTCTGTCCAACCAAGACCCCAGAAGTGGAGCACGTACACCTGTACAGCCGGCCAGGAAGTTGTGTGACGCATTGTTGGATACACTTTGTAAACTTCTTAATTGTAAGGGACCCAGTCCTATACAATTTTATAAGGTCCGCATGAAAAAATCAGGTAATATTACGTCACAAAAATGGTGTGGTTATGGTACGCGTATCCCACGTAAAATTATCGCTTCGCCAAACTTTTCCTCCAGTTACTTCAGCGTTTCGAATATGCAATGGCAAATAACACTGTCTCCTTAAAGCCACATATTGTCCGAGGTAAACTCGTTCAACTTTTATGCTAGAGGAGATGTTCGATCGGCGCGGAGCTCAGTGACGTTTGGCTTCCCCAACGTGTGGTCACTTATTGCATTAACCGCTGTCCCCGTTTAGGCTTTCCTTGAAGCGCGTGAGAACAGGCACCGACTCGTCTGCAATTTCCTGCAAAATGGCCCAATTTAAACTTTTTTAACCATTAGCTTGCGCGGTACGGTATCGTTCGGCCATTGAGTAACCGTGTTTGTGAGAAGAGCTTGCTGAACTTAAGGCTGTGATTTGGTTCTATGAAAAAGCGACATTTTATTGCCGTTCCTGTGAATAGTTTGTCGTTTGTATAGGCAAATTAGATATAGCCTAAACGTATGAATTTCGGGAATGGATGATTCGATGTGTGTCCAATGAACAGCTCGAGCATAAGAAGTTTATGAGATTCTGCTAATGATACCCGAAAACGTAACTTTTTTATAACTCTATCCATTTGCTATATATCTAAATTCTATCTATATATGTATATATATATATAGATATATCTAGTCATCGAGATTTTACAAACGCACGTTTATCGATTAGACAATGAACTATATATCCTCGTGCGCGGTGCAACTGTGTTATTTCGCCGAATCAATAGAGATATTTTCTTCAATTACGAAATAAATTACCCGTAAAACTAGAACAATTCTAGGTCTTAAATTCACTCGTTACGGGAACGTGTTTCAGAGTCGAACTTTTTTGTCCTCGCGTTTACAGCCTTACAGTCCAGTATGAACAAGCCTATCGTGCTTCCCTATAGAAAAAAGTTCAATGCAACAGACAGGATCCTTCGGTTCGCTGTTATCAATGTAAGTTCAATTATGCGTAGCCAAGTTACCAATTCGAATCTCTAATTCATACGAAAATTTTGCGAAAAAACGTCTATTTTGAATCTCTGTTAAGTATTTGTCCGGTTTAATTATCTGGAATTATCTATTAATTATATGGAAGAGAGTGTTTTGCGATGTTGGTTGTGTTGTCAATTGAGAGAAGAAACTGGTTTCTGCAGCATAGCTATGAGACTTCGTATATTACCAATTAAAGCGGATAGCCACTAAGACCACAGCTTTTCGCCACTCTTTGAAGCGCTTACGTTACAAATTTGCCCAAGATACCTTGTCACACTATGGAGGACATCAATGATATTCAAAAATATATATTACGCATAATTGAAAAAGAAGATTTAGATCTTTTAGTCCGAAGACATTTATTTTGTTACATAAATAGAGCTCTTATCTTATAAACATAAAGCATTTTGGGATTAAGTTAAAAACGTATGCCATGCTAAAAATAACAGTGTTCTGTGTAAAAGTTAGAAAAATATGCGTCGTATAGAACTTGACCGTATAGACTAATCGTTTTTCATGGTTTAACATTGGCTAACTTACTATATGGCTACAATTTGTCTAACGTTGACAAAAACCTTAGGCCTTGATAACTGGTAATTGAAATTTATATCACCTTGGTTCATTTCATATAATATGGCGACGTAAAATTAACCCAAAGGAAAAACATACCTTCGACAGAAGGAGATTTTTAACTTTTCTCCAAGTGAAGCTTTTAATAATGTGAGGTCTGTTTTTTACTACCGTTTGTTGATCGTGTTGAGTTTCCTCCGTACGTCAAACGCGAGCGACAGGGTAATTATGTTCGGCTCGTTGGGGCTCAGGCAGAGTTCCTTGGCTGCATAGAATCGTTATCGAAGTACAGGTAGGTGTGTACGCAAGCGATGAAACCTAAGCATTTAATATACCATAGACGCCGTGCGATAGGCAATTGGAGAAATAGTCCCGAGTATCGCTCTTCTTGTATTTTCCACAAAGCCTTTAACTGAAACGAATCGATTACAGAGTAGGAAATAATTGTCCTAATGACGCTTGCTTTACGCACCGTAATGAGCCTGCTAAGCAAATGTAGTGTTTTGCGGAAAATGCGATCTGAACCTGTATTAGGTAATGCAAGATGAATGTAATTGCGGCCAGGAAGAATATTGGCTTCGCGAATTCTTTAACGTTCCGCTACCTGTGCTTCTAGATATGTACTCGTTGTGAACTTCCAGAATATCAATTGTTTCTGACAAGGACATGAGCCACGGACGTAAGCTACCGAACGGAACCTTCACCGGTATCATGGGCATGTTTCAAAGAAATGTATGAGCTAGTTATACGTGAGTTGTACATAGTATAGATAGTATTCGGTGCACGCCATGCGTTTGAAAGCACGATATGTTGGTGTTTTTGATAAGCGTCGTCCTGAGAAACGTTGAAGTACTACATGGTCTCAATGTTACACTTCGTTTGATCATTTTGTGCAGTTGTTGCGCTGCTCCAGACATCGGTCTCAAAATATAATATCGCCATATCATTCTTTTATCAACAATGTGTTACTTAAAGAGACAAGCCATTATTGAATAACCGCATATAAATGCATAGATTCGTGTAGATTCACACCTTAACACTAGTCTAATACTACTTAACGAAAACCACCTCTTAAAAGAAGAAGCGAACCCCTTTGTCAAGCAAGCCTGACTCTTTTCAACATGCCGCACTGTGGATCACTGCACCACCTATACTTAACGTTTTAATTGAACTAGGACAAATTCCGCAATATTGAACCAGCAGAATGAATACTGCCCAAAAGAAGATCATTAAATTTCGATGAAAGCGATGCCGATCAACGGAAAACTGGTTGTTGGAAGCTTATTCGTTTAGCCAAACAAATTGGGTCTTTCTAAAAATGGTCGATAAAATAACAAAGTCGAACATTGTGTTTTTCTTTCATATTTAGCATTTTCGACACACAAAGTGTTTGCCTATATTGAGAACCTTTAACGTCAGCCTTCAAAAGCAACTAGTTATGTACGAAATAGAGAACTCACAGTCGAACCGAGTAAATCCACTGTGGTACAGATAGACGCCCAGGTTTCGACATTGGTACATTTACTAGAGGTGTGCCGGCTAGGATGTATCACCGGAAATAGATCGGTCTCAATTCACGGCAGAGTCTGATCAGCCAACATTCAACATGCGTGCTTATTCTTCATTTTTGTTTCGTCGTCACTTTATACCTACACTTTTCCACTGAGCCTGTTTTCAAGCGTTCATCAGTATAGGAAGCGTCCAAGACCGGTGCATTTTGAAAAAATGGTTGAAAAATATCATTGCTCCAGCTTGTAGAACTGGTGCAAGGATTCGCTTGTCTTAGGAACATAATAATCAGCTGATAACAGAGGCTTGAGCTACACTTGGGTTGCTATCATAAACGTAAGTCGTGGTCCGCCATATATGACTAACGGTATTTACCGCGGCAAACAACAGGTCCGTTTTGCGTCTCACGTTCATCTAACGAACTCTGTATGAAAAGCTTAAAACGAAATGCTAGTTAATGAAGATATACAAGCCCAAAAAAAAAGGCATCGACTTGAAACGGGTGGCACCAGCTAAGAATTACCTGGCAATTTCATGTAACTAACCAGCGTATAAGGATGGTAATAATCATAATAACGATCGCAGTAACGACAACAGCGAGAATTACTGACTTGAAACCGAACGTAGTAGTTTTCGGTGCATCGGACAAAGATGACAAGCCTTATATATATATATTAGAAGATTCACTATGTAGAATTGACTGACCCAGCAGGTTCTGACGGTGAGAAGCCTTCGGAAGACTGATGGTCGCGAAAATCAGATCGAATTTGGTTGATGAAAAATCTATCCATGCATCAGTTATGTAACAGACTCGGACCTAAGTGACCGCGAAAAAGTGCGCGCATCACTCTATAAGAAAGGGCTTGATGCATAGGCGGATCTTCACAACCTGACGATATTTTGAAGGCCGTAAAGCCTTGCTGTTGATACGTATTCAAATGCATAAACAATTGCTGCCCTCGTCTAAAAGCCACACTACAGACCAATGATATCACTTTTAGATGATAAGGTAATACAACATAAGCTTATTAAACAGGTCAATACATACACTAAAAAAAGGTAACGTTACGGTGGTATTCGCTTGACTGATTGCCTTCTTTCCAAAGTAAATGATAGGTAGACATGCATCAGCAAAGCCCATAATGATAGTCTCAGATGACCGTTACATAACGATAGCTGATATCTCCTAAGATAGGACTCGGTGCACTCGATTTCGAAGTTCTACTAGAAATACACAGGCAAATAGTAGAAGCTTTGCAATTTAGGCTTGACGGTGGGCTAGGCAGATTCGATGCTTTTTAACTTAACGAATTAGATCCCTAAGTTGTTAGAAACGTAAGGGCAAGGACAACTGAACCTCAGTAGTTGCTACGAAGGTAAGGGTGTTCTCTCTGTTACAACAGGGTGGGCAACTCTGTTACAAGGAACTAACGGTTGCGCATACTGTCTTACTCGACGATGTAGTTACAGGCGAACTTGGCGAACTTTGAAATTGAATAGCTTTAAAACTACTACCTGCTAGCACACTAAATTTGGCTGTAGAAGAGCGCGGTTTTCGACGAACTTGTAAGTGGAAACCGACTGCGTTTACTCTAGGAGAAGCGTTCGAAAGGAAAAACCAAAGTTTTTGTCACTTTAAAAGCCACGATTTCCCGGAAGTTTATTGGAAATTTACTGATTAAGGCATTAGACAAAGAGGCCTTAGGTGAAACCGCAGCACGTGAATAATGCAAACCTTTCAAGAACAGCCCAGGATGTTGAAGGCCAACAACGAAACGCCTACACGGCGAGACCCGAAGGACAGGAATGCGTTGCCACAATCGAGCAGGCTTTTCACGAAAGCAGAGCTTGAGTTCTAAGGGCTCTATCTGCCACGAAATTGCCATTTCGTTACGAATTAGAACTGAAAATGCGAGAACTAAGTAAAACTACTTCGCTCGTAAGTTATCTTTGGACCAGTTGGAAATGCGTGGGGTGTACTCTATGCGCAGCTTGCGAAACTTTGATCAAGAAGGACTCGCTTGGAGCATATGATCGCCATAGACTAGGCATGATTCAATCTCTGCTGCTAGCCGAGGAAAGGTCAGGAAAACGAACGGCGTCGACCTGAAGAGAAACAAGTTGGTGGCAACGTCGAGCAGATTCGGACATAGTGCTGCACTGGTACTTGCAATAAATACGAACAGCATCTGCTACTATGAGATAGTAGCCGAGAATAAGATGATTATTAGATGACAATGCCAGACCTCATAGTTATGCTTCAATTAATTCGTGAACTAAGCAAAGGCAGCTGGTAAGCGGGCGTATTACGTAAAACGCGATAAATGGGATTACGTATAGAAACGAAAATAGTTTATAGCTGCCCAAAACCTGCCAGGGCGTTCAGGCAACTACATACGAAATAAAAGCAATGACACCTATAAGAAATCATCATTCTAGCCAAGGTAGTTTAGAAGTGACCCAACTTCGAAGTGCGCCAGCTTCGCTTTTAACAGGCTAATATAACCCGCCATTTTCAAGCTAGTCATGTGGCTCTACTCCTCTACGAACACACGATTCACTTAGCTTGTTCTCTTTGTTGAAGAGTTCGATAGCACTTCACGCTGCTTAATACACACTCCGTGTTTATCCGTGTTGTAACTCCTTTCGGCCTGCCTAATTTGGTCGACCTTTTTGCCCTCCAAAGGTTTTCAGCCTTTCCCAATGGAAGAAGAAGAATCTAGCAGTGATCCTTCTATCGTGATGGTGACCGTCAATCTGAATTAAGCTAATCGATCTCCCTAGATTTCTTTGAACCTTTACGTTACGCCGCCTCCCATGGTCGTGTAGTGAAAGCTACCTATTCTTTTATGATATTGATAACTTAAAGAATCGTTAAATCATATGGCATTAGCTCATGACCTAACAAAAATTGTTGTCGATCAATTTCTTGGCTAGAATTAAAATCTGTTTATAGAATAAGTACTTTCATTCACTAAGTAATGATCGATATTAACACGGAGTGTCCTTAGCAAAGATGTTTTTACGCGGGTATCTTTAGGCAGTTGTTGTAAATTTCGTGGCAGCAGAATGATATTGAAAAAAAACTGGCCGCTTGCAAGACGCATATCTTCAACTGATCACTTAAATGTTTTTTAGGACATGTTTACTGTATTTGAATTTTTGAAAATGTATACTTTTTCGTAATGATTAACGCACAAATGAATTTTATTTATAAATTTATTCTTAGGAGATTGATGGATTTCTCGGGCCATCAACGATAACGGCAGAGCGTTTTTCCACAGTTGGACAGGGGACATGTGATATCGTCGATTTCCGGTTGTTGACGTTTGCTCCATCAAAGGTACCACACCACATCTGCCCCCCATGCAAAGTTCGCCCGACTTCTCTACCGTATCATCAAACGCATGCACGATATTTGCACCTAAAACATTCAGATGCATCTGCATGTTTGCGCCCAATTTACAAGGAACTGAAGCTGAAAGGAGAGTTTCAGATTACGGTTTTCATGTCAGCGTATCTACTTGTGAGGTCGAATTCAGATGGTATTCTATAGGCCTAGACCGGGTAATTAGGAGGGTAATGCGACCAAATTTCTATTTTTTCATTTCGACCCAAAACGTTACTACATTTTTATATATATACACACCAGCGTTCCTAGACGTAGAGCTATTGACATCTCTTTGGTCGACACGTTTCAATCTTTTGTGTTTTCCTGCGAAAAACAAAATTCAGGTAATCGACCCTTTCAATTTTGCAAAAGCCTTCCAGTTAGACGTTTGGCTTTCACTGGCGGTGAGTCTCGTCTTACTTCCAGCAGTTTGTTGGATCATCACCAGGCAAGTTCCCTGATCACTATTCGGTCTAAATTTAAATAAAATATATCATTCTGTTGCGTAAGCGGTGAGACTGAGGTATTGATGACTAGAACCCAGCAACATGTGACTTTTCCTTTGAGCAATGCCCAGAACCTAATATAATAGAAGAAACTTATAACTGTTTGAGATGACACTTCAAAAACGGGTAAGATTTTTCTACATGCTACAATGATTTGTCATTGGCACTTTTCATCAACGCTAACCGATGAACATTTCACTTAACAACATAATGAGAGATTATGAGATGATCTACAATGGCAGAAATTCTCTGATGCCCGCTTCCATTCTTAACCATTTTGACTGAGACGGAAACCATGCGATATTCAACGACCTAATGAAGGCTCGATAACCAGAAAAAAACTATTTTCAAAGCCGTACTTGCATAGATGAGCCCCATAGTAGACGATTATAAGTCCTTGATCAGTGGAAAGTTTCAGAGAGCACCTCGACTTCATTGAGGACAATACGACGCTTGATTCTGTATCGTCTCAATAGGAAAATACTGCTCTCTTGTAGTTCTTGGAATTGTAGCCCACTTACCAGGCCAAAAATATTTGTTAAAGCTAAAACTTCAGCTTATGTTCAACGGATTTTATAGTACTCATTCTGCAAATTTCCAGGTACCTCAGTTCACGGAATCAAGAACCGGCCACATCTTACTTCAGCTTCATGTGGGAAATATTTTCCCGTATATTCCCTCAAGGTAGGATAACGAATAAGGGTCAGGTGAATCACTATACAGGTGAATGCCTTTTACTGCACCTATTTTTGGTGCTTGAACATGTAACTAAGATTAGTCGTGAATCGTCCTGGTAAGTAAAAATAGTACGCCAGGAATGGTATAAAAATACCTCCCTACTATGTAATAATCAATCTATTCAATTTATTAGAAATCTAAAGCAGTCAGAGACAGTTACAGATCAAGAATTCGACGCTATCAATGGTAGACAACGGAACATTTTGCTAGACTGCCCCGTAATGCTGATGTCTTAAGTTAGTGAAAAATGTTTGCTACCCACTAAGACTACAAAGACAAGCGTGTAGATAAGAGATGATAATATGGAAAAAAGTTTACATCGTTAGACTACTTTGTTCTAATTCTCACATAAATTTACACTCCAGTATGTTGGATGTTAAGTCTCTGCATAATCAAGGTGTTCAATAATCTATGAACGCTCGGATTGGATGTTGGTAATAGCTCTCCTCCAATATACCTGGTATTCTTTCAATGCAGTCCATCAAGATTCTCTCGATCTACTGTCATACCCTAAAGCTATTGGGCTCCATACGGAACAAATGCAACAACGAGTTACTATAGATTTCTACGATGGTGCTTTGGAAAGATGATAATACTTCTGCTTCATTGTTCAATCTCTTTCTAAACGGATAAGGTGGTATGTACTTGTAAACTATGCATCTATTTACTTGTATTCACGCTAACGTAGTCAAAAATATCTTTCTTAGCTTTAATTTTAGGGCCGAATGGGCGTCTGTATGTGCTAATCGCTCGCGTTCAAATATCAAATCTAATGAGCCGTTGAACTTTTCGGTTAAAGCCTTTTTACGTGGGAGAAAAAAGTTGTACGACGTGTTTTGATAGCGTGTGGTAATTAAAGGCATGGTCACCTAGGTGTTTAGACAGTGAATACTGACATAGATAAAAAAAAAAATGTTTGAAATGTTGTAAAGACGACGAGTTGCCGAGATGGCCGAAGTGGCAACCCGTACTACCTCAAGAACAGTTACCCTGGTTAGTAAAACATGTTCGGACTCGTTGGCGTTTGACTAGCAGTTGGGAGTTCTGTGAGATTATAGATTGACCTGATGGGGCTGCATGTTCATCATAAGATCTACACTTGAAATTGATCTAGAAATATTATAACAATTTTTATGAAAACACATTGTCGGTATAATTTTCTAAGGTAGCCAGCTAATCTTTGGGATATGTTGTAATATAGGTTCGAATCCGGACGTGGACGGACTTCGTTTCGTGCTGGGAGTCAACCGTCCGGTGGAACGCCTAATGGCAATACCGGGCGTAAAACTCACGATATAATACATTGCAGTTCAGTGTAACCTTCAAATCTCTGTTTATTAACGTCCGGAACTGATTCTCTGGCCGTCTGGATCTAATAGGAAAAAGTTGAGGGTAAGCTAGTAAGTGGTAGTAGTTACTAAAGGCGTTCACTAATTAGTTGGTACACTTTCAGGTGAATCAAAACATCAGCGCGATTGGTTCAGACTGTGTCAGTTAAGTTTTCTTTTAAGTATATCGGTTACCTTCATGACATTCCTCAACTCGGAGCTCACCTCGTCGATGGCAATTAAAAAGAACGAAGATTTCATCAATGACTATTCAGATATACTACGCTTCAGAAAGATGCAGATCTATGCTGAAGCAGACTCCACTCTATCAGCGCTTTTCACGGTACGTTTAAAGTTGTCCTTCTTTTTATTCTATTCAAATTGTCCTAACCGTCGTCGTTCCACTTGAATAGTTGTTGGCCGCTACTTCCAAGACGTCTAAGACCGCTATAGTTGTGCTACGCTTATCTCAAGAACTTTTATATAAGAAATGCGAATCCTGTTGGATACCTTGTCGGCCTATCCGTTACGTCTAACTTGTGTGCCCTTGACATTATACTGAGAATACTGTTATTCGTTTTCAAGCATAAAGGATTCATAATTATTTTTGGCTAAACGTTGAATTTATTTCAGAAAGCAAGTACCGACCTTCTGAGACGGCTGTCGACCCGTTTAGTTCCTGTGAGAGGTACTTTTCGATATGGACCGGAACTATTCTCACTTATAAAAAAGGTCTCGGAGAAACAAGGGGTTCTCGTCGGTAGCGAACATATGGGTATCTCCTTCATGCTACAGGTATGGCTGTGTAGAGCTAAATGCAGGTAGCATGCGGCAGGTGTAGGGTTTGATTTCAACAGTTGGACAAAATAGCAGTTGTGGAAAAACGCGTCAGCGACATGTCCAGCAACATTTTTTTTGTCACTCTAATAGTTGATATCAATGCGCGAAGTAAGCGGTCGTGTTGTTGATGTTGCGCCCTACCTAGAAGTACTAGTTAAGGTACTAGAAATGGCTATAGCTCTAAATGCATTTGTGTTTTCATTAGTTATCTCCGATTAGATTAGATAGAGAGCGTATTAATAACACAAGGTTTTAGTTCATTCACCAAAGTTAAAAGGAGATGATTTTTAATTGACAAGTTACATTAGTTTTGGCTCCCGTCACACGCATTTACGACTAAACTCGATTTTGTTCAGAAATACAAACCGGAGCAATTTCGATGCTCAGTTACTTTCTGATATTACGCAAATTGACGGGCGTTACTGGACACTATTTATCGAACGAAAGGTTTGTTGTTAATTATCAGCTAGACTAGCTTGAAAACTTCCTTTGAATAGCTAAAAAAAAAAAAAAAAAAACAAACAAAAAGTCAACTAGCGACGTTAATTATGTAGCGTACTAAATGCTAGAGGTCACATTAATTTTAGAAAACTGAGCTCATTTTACATGTGACGTTAGACATTACACATGCCTGAATGCCAGTGTCACATGGTTTTTCATGTAAATGTCAAGCGCAATTATTGCAACGTAAATCCGATTTCAATCATCACTACCTGCTTATGCAGGAAAATCTGCATGACCATGTTTAAGTGAGCCCGACGAGCAAAACTTATTTGTTTTCAAGCGTCACCAACGAGGATTGGCGCATCTGAACACTAGTCTCGCGCACCAACGACAATTGGTCATTTTAAATCGCTAGGAAATTCAGTTTCTCCTGTTCGTAGAAATTTCGCAAACGAGAAATTCAGCTTATAGCAGAAAAGTAGCAAAAAACATTGTCCTAATCCTGGAGACGTTTATGAAGCCCTTGCGCATTTTGTTGCAGCAGAACTAATCACTAAATACGAGCAAAAAAACGGCGGTGATCGATACAATCTCCTAATACTTAGTTCTAAAAAACGTACAATACGGAAATTGTTTATTGCTATTCGTATAACTAAGTAGAAGTTTCAACGCAGAGCTTAAAGGTCTTCGGTTACTGCCCCAAAACGATGGTGACCACAAAGGGGTTTGGACTTCTCAGCGGAGACATTTTCTTGTCACGCAGTTTGCCTTCGGAACTGACAAGAAACATAAATAAGGGGTGAGCATATCACTTAATTACATGAAGTAATAATTTGTTTTGAAGAGATCATTGTTTATTATTCGATATTTATTATTCCTTTTTCATTTGCTGATACTGTATTGCTTTTTTTCCTATTCTACGATACTGTTGTTACCTATTTCCTTGAAGCACAAGGTTGTGACCTGAATTTAGACTAACAAGAACCGGTATATCAAACAAGAAAAAGGGGTTGCCGACAGCGGTTTTTGCCACCGTGAAAAAGCTAGCCTAGAAAATTTGTACAGTAGAAAAGCGGAAGCCAAGGGTGCGAACTTATCAAGCAATTATCTCCCTTCAAAAGTGAGAGAGTGCTCGTTTTATTCACGAGTCTAGCCAAGTTCATTTTTTAGGCCAAAAATTTGGCATTTGAACGTACTAAGCCGTTTCTGGGTAAAATTCTTCTAAAAGCCAGTAGAATTTTCGTCGTGCACGCCATGTCAAAGAAGCTGTTGTTTAGTACCAGACATACCTATTTTTGGGATCTAAATTAAATTATTATGTTTTATAGATGATGATAATAATATGATGAATAAAATTATGTTGGTAACCTTATAGACAAATGTGCCCAGAGAAAAGGAACGCGTGTAATACTTCAAAACATCCATGCACAGTTATGACTACACAAAAGAGCATACAGCACGAACTGCAGAACTTTTAATCGTCTTAAAAATAGTGACGGTTTACATGGCAATGTTACACTGCGACTTTGGTTACACGTTTTCAAAGGAACCCATATTTTTACGACCCTCTACGATTGAAGTTTGACGTCCGGCGTCTCCATCACACAGCTAAAGTACGCCTATAGTCGGATCTTTATATATATATTTATATTTTTCTAACTTTATACAGGATAGTTAATAAATATTTATTGGAGTCTTAAGAAAATCCACTAATAAAAAAGAGACTCCAATATTACCTAGGCTATACCAATAACAGGTTGCCTTCATAAATATTGTAGCAAGACGTGTAAGACTTATCGGGTCCTTACCTAGTCATTCGAATACCTAGAGATCTCGTCAGCCAACCTAATTGGCAACGTTTCAATTGACTAATAATGTTTGATCATTGTCTATAATACAAGGTAACGATGATAACAAAAGAACGTTTATATTCTAATTTCAGAATACATATTTGCCGAGAATCGAACCTATATCGACAGAAATTACTCTGGACAGTACATAACTATTACAAATGTATGGCTTTCACGTTCAGCAACAAAGATGAACCCAAGGTAAGGAACAATTTTTCCGTTAACTCGTCGAGTTGTAGGTGAAGTATATAGGGTCAAAATATTTTTCTAGCTACAACGAGGAAAGTGTACATTTTTTTTAATATAAAATACCATCCACTGTTCAATGATCGTTAACGTGCGGTTTCGTGCCCAGCTACCAACCAGCTCGTTATTTACTTTGAGCAGGCTGGCCTAATCCTTTGTACTTCATTAGAAGACTGTGCCTGTACACTGTGTGTGTACAAATTACCTAAATCTTTGCCAGGTGCATATACAAGCTGAGCATAAAATAATACAGTATATTAATACACGACGCTTCATATGCGTCAGCTCCGTAAGAGAAACGCTTATTGGACAGTGTTGAGCACCTGTTGAAGGTATGGGCCCGCGCATCGTCGGCGTCAGTCGTTGTTTTGTTCCGTATCTTAATCATTCACTCTTCTTGCTGTTATTCTAACAAGCCGTTCTAAACCAAGAAGACGCTATAATCCTAAAGCTATTGCAATGTCTTCAACCTAAATCTAATAACCAAACGACTCTAAACCTACAAGTAGGTATAGAGTCATTTGGCGCTAGTGTCGATATATATTTTTAGGACGGAACGTGAATTGTGCAAAAAACTAGCTTTTCATTATAATCTATAGACAGCTGCACACTGTGCAGGCAACCTTTCTATGGATGTTCCTCTCTGGAACAAGAGTAAGCAAGCGTCAGCCCGGGCTGTTTATGATTAAAATCATTGGGTTTAATTCAGAATTTTGTGTCACCTACGCTTGTCAGCTCGAGAACGAGCGATTTAATACACACACTGCAACCCCTTTTTTTCTTACACACAAATTTGCTTATCAGTAATAGGAGATACGCTTTTACGCCTCATGTTTGTTAGTGAGAAAATTTACCTGTCCAAACAGTGATATTGAAAATGTGCTGTTCAAAGTAACTTAATCCACCATATATTCCTCTTGTACATTTACTTACACCTTACCTAACTTCTGCAAGTAAAAGGGGCAAAATACATAATCAACTATAGTCATAATGCTTTCGTCTTTTCATATTGCCCGCAATGAGGCTTCTGCTTTGACAAGTTTTTTGACAGAAAACATAGTTAGGGTAATATCTTAGTACGAATCAGGCACAACATGAATACAATGCATACATACAAGTTACATACTATCAGCTATTGTTGAATTCGTTTTCAAGGTTGCATACTGAATTATCGGTTCGCCTACACCTTGCCCGTGAAAATACCTCTACCTGAAACTGTGTGTTCAATGATCAGCAGCGTAATATATTTGTCTCGTGAGCTTCTGTAGTAGGAAAATGATTTTAAGCGCTAGGCGAGTAACAGCTTACAGCCTACTGACAAGGTTTGCCATTATATTACTTTTATGCGGTCCTTCGTCCAATAGGGTCTACCAGCGACGTTGGGCTGGCTTCTATCGGCTTAATGTTAGCTAGGCCTGTAGCGTGCGACTCTCTCTTCGTGCATCCTTGAACGTTTCACAACATGAGTTCGCGGTTTTTCTGCCACGAATTAGCCGTTTTTGTTTTTTCTACTTTCTATTGAAATACTGTCATTATCTATGGCTTTCTGTTATTTGGATGGTAACCTCGGGATACGAGAGATAAAGCCATAAGAGGCAATATCGGCATCATGTTGAGATTTAAATAACTTACCTATTAAGAGACTACCGAGATTTTGAAATGCATAATAATTACGGGAGCAATATTTGTATGGTCGATGGCAAGGAGCCTTTACTGTATCTCCTGCATTTTCGTGATCGTTATTTTTATGGTGCGATACTAAATGTTATTAGTTTACTTCAGTTTACTAATGTCGACTGCTTATCAATGTTTACTAATAGTCGATAGTTGACTGTATACTTCAGTTGTACCGGGTAAGCTAAGATTCATAAAACTGTAGTGAATAAGGCGTGCACTAGATCACCAAACAGGTTTTGAAATTGTGAGCAGAGGAAAACAAGCATCTCTATGTCCATTTGTCTGATTGCTTTCCCTTGCTAATTTGTTTAAGGTGGGCAAGTATTGTATTTCTACATTTACCAAATCTGAAGGCTAACGCCCATGAGCTTTGAGATGGACTGACTTCCACCAAAGCTCTCGGCTATGCGTTGTATACTCTCGCAGAAGGCCTTTCATTTTTTAATTGAAAATTTACGACCTTCAATCTATATCTTACATTGTCAAGCCTGCTGTTAAGGGCATGCTCTGGTTTTAAATCGGGCAGAGACACTTTGTCCTTTCATACGGCAGCTAGCCACATGGAGCAATGTTTAATTGCAGTATCGGGCGTAAAAACTCCGAACAATTAGGTCTCGTGTGAAAGACTAATCTACTTGGAGATGATCTCCATTGCCAACTGTACCGTTACAATAAGTCCGTAATCTGTCGGTACACGAAAACTTCCGCACAAATTTCAGGCTGGAATCTCCACATGTAGGAAAGCTTTAAGAGTGCGTGAAAAAATCCCAGCCAAATTTTAGGATAGAATGACGATATGTCTAGGTTCTTCCACTTGTTTGCCCATCTGTCTGAGGTACGATACGAGGCCGTATGTTGTTTCCCGCCGAAATTGTTTGTGTCTCTACGTTAAAATTAATTATTTTTTAGAAATAGCGTTGAATCGCATACTGGTTAATGCCTTTATTGCAATCAGTTCTTATTGCAACCTTGTTGCAAATTATCTGCTAATTCAACACCGTACCGATGTCTCGTTGAGCTATATTATAGAGATAACTTTATTACGGCGAAAGTTACGGCAATCCTTAAATCATGCATAACTTCTATTTTCGTATAATTAATCTGCTGCATCCCAAGCGTTATCTAGTGCGATTCGAAAAAAAAAATTTCTAAACTATATTAACCGGTCTGGTGGCGCGAGGAAATGCTCTGTTGTCTATATTTTATATGAATTTAGCGTGATCTACAAATTAGTCTTCTCTTTTATCTAATGTATTGAATTAACGAGTGCCTTTGGCAATGCTATTCATGTAAAACGGCTCAAGCCCGCTCCAGAGATATTCGCTAGTATAAAGTTACAAGATAATAAAAACTACGCCAGTGTATCTAAAGCATATCTTGAGGCCATACGTGACAACTTTTTTCCTGATGTTAGGGGTCACAGCTTTAAAAGTGCCAACACTAAGAAATTTATTTCTCAGAATATTACGATAAGACTAGATAGTCCTGCTGGGCTTATGTGGTGATAGCCTGTGTTCTAAATACGGAACAGTTCCGTAGAAAACTTTGTCATTAATGGGCCACTCAGTACACCTGGGTTCTGCGCGCACTTTTTAAATTTTTTGTTCTAATCAAAATGCTTCCCAACGGCTGTAGCTGCATCGTCAACTTATTTTTGTAAAAAATTTCCAGTTGTCGTATTCTTATGGACAGTAACATCATAGAATCGGCAAAAAAAAAACTGCAGTGTGACCTTAGAATGTATTTATGAGTACATTACGTTATTGCCCTTTGAAATTGAACTTAGGTTTATTGTTTTCGCAGTGATGTATTAATAGGGCCAGATGAAGAGATAGAAGCTTCGTGCGAATACTCTAAGGCCTTTGGTATTAACAGGACGTTTTTAAATGATTTCAACTTTAGTTAGGATAGCAACAATCGGACCTGACTGGTAAAAATACTTCGTTATTTGACTTATCACAACCAATTATTCGTCCTTCTTTAATCGAGGTAGCTTTTCACATATATTACATTTGTGTAAGGGATACCTGCCGAGTGTTTTTTCAGTAAGAATTTGTAAGGTTGTTCAGCTGTGTAAAACAAATATTAATGCCCATCATCCCTTAAGAATCGGAGCCTCGAAAAATAGTATACTAGCTAAAGCTATACACCTATACAATGATCTTTAGCGGAGCTTGGACGCTGTTAATACCGTCGATACTATAAATTGCGCAGGCCATCAAAAGAGTCGAAGGTTGTGTCGGCGTGATTCTAATGAAACTTAGAAAAACATATATATATATATATATATATATGTATATTGGATTATAGAAGAAGCAGCGCACCGTTACCCTCAGAATGATAGTACCTGATTAATGAGTCCTTGCGTGTGTGCATTATCAAGATAGATCTTGCTATCAAATAGTAACCTGTATGTTTGGATTTCAGCCATTATCTTCGGATGACATACTTGGCAGTTTGGTATTGCTTGCGATCGGACTTGGAGTGTCTCTGGTAGCGCTTACGGTCGAGGGTATATCTCGTACAATCATCTATCGAAAACGTTCTACAACTACACGTTGTCTAACCCAAGAAGTGGTACAATGAAATTTCACGTATTTCATAAAAGTATAGACATTTTTTTCAATTTAACTGAATTAATAACATCATGAGTTTCTTACCCCTTTCGATCTGAATCACTTAGACATAATACCATTAAATAAATCTTTATTAAATAAAAGAAAAATCGATACAATATTGAATGAGCAACCATGCGAAAGCATTGTATACGCCGCAATAAGAAAGTTCTTCTTGAGAAAAAAAAAAACCAGAGGAAAGAAAAACGCTTTACTTGTCTGCTTATAATTGCACGGTATAAAACGAACGAACATGATATTACAATATTATTCAATAAAATGATGTAACCCGATAGAGTATTTATCTAATTCTAGAGTATACGCTTTAAAATTATCGCGCTAAATGTGAAACAGAAGAACACGCAACAACAGAAAGACCTTGGATTCATTCAACTTTAAGGTTTCGTCTTCGAAGCTTGAATCAGTGGGTCTCGAGCTTGAAGTTTCGCCTTATATAAGCAGTTGAATGTCAGTTGCCTCGCTCAGACTGGCGCTAAGATGCTTCCCCATTTCTGCGCGGCCATGAAATATATCAAATTGAATTCAAAGTCGCTTTCGCCAATGACTAGTGAGTCAACGTAGTGCATGTATTATACTCTGTTTACGTACAATGCACTCACTTTATAGCTTCAGAAAACTCTAATCGGATAGCCTGACGTCTGTAGTAAGCAAGCAGAACAACGTACGCTAGGAGGATTGTTTTGTTGCTACCAATTGGCAAAGTGATGGCAAAATGATCTCTCGAAAACCGGGTTTAAAAATAAGGCAGTCCGTTATTGATCAAGTGGACCAAGTGGAGCAACGGTGAGTGATGCAATTTGCTGACAAATATATTTTTAATCGTAATCGATTTCGTATCGACGTATATCGTAAACGTATCGACGACACTATGCTCCATATTATCGGCATAAATCTACGAACACGCAAGAAGCTATGGTAAAATCGATAGAAAGGCAAGTGCGAGCACAGAGCGTCGCGGTCTATAAAACTGAATAATAGTCGACTTGTCGAGACACCATCTCAGCGATATTAACTAGGTGGACACAGGAGATACTGCAAGATTTTCCATTTTCCAAAAGGTCACGATACTTCCGAAGTTACCTTCATAGGATCGTTAGTATCCAGATGCCAACGTATGTTCAATGAACGACGGATGAAAGCGATGACCACTTAATCCTGGAAGTAAACTGTAACGTACAATGACTGCTGATCAGCGATTGAAAAGTAAGCTAAAATACATAACATACTCCGCGATACGCGAGAACGTTCGCATACAAAAGGGCAATGTCACAGAAATACTTAGCGGAAAGATGTTGTAGGCACTTCGAAAGTTCAGTAAATCGAGCAGGCAACGAGTTTGACTCACAAACGAAAAGGGGCGATCTTTGTATGCTATTAGAAAGAAACATCGTACATCCAGACGATGCCGCTCTGTCGTAAGATAGAATGACTAAACGGGTTATTCACGACTCCAATAAAGGTAAGGTGCATCTAAAAAAGTAGGCCAATCAATACGGTAGGCGCTTGCCATCTCTTCGGCAGAAGTACTATTTAATAAAAATCTGACTTGGTTACAAGTGAAGCTTAAGGAAGCGGGGACTTTCAACTTGTGTATACAGAGAGTAACAGAAATAGCCAAAAAAAAAAAAAATTCGGAAACTATATACATTTTTTATTTAAAAAAATTCGATCAATAAAATATGAGGTACGTACATGGTTTATTAGAGACAATGCTAGAATTTGACTATGAATACCAGCAACCCGTTAGACCATTTGTTCTGTCGATGACATTTCAAGTGAATTGGCCTCGTATTTACTTCACTAAGATAATATCAACTAAGAGCAATATGGAAATGTCCAATTAGTCCGGAGTTATACGCCATTTCCCGTTTTAATTCGATGTAGATCATTGATGATCGCCCCTGTGGCGCAGCAGATCAATGTGAAACGCTGCTTCTTAAGCTGGGGCTATAGGTGTTTAATGATTATACGAGCGATGAGCACAATAATATACAACAAATGAATTTCGAGGCCACTTTTGAAAGTCTCCTGATTTTTCTGCATGTTATCGAGCTCCAATGATTTACGTAGTACCGTAGCAGACGACTGCAGACTGTTAACTATCGCAGTAACTTGCCTTGTCTGCATAGGTTCTGGTAAAAGAACTTTTTGAGAAAGCAACAGAACAAAAAAACTTCAGAATCGAAATTGCTCCGATTTGTGTTTCTGAACAAAATCAAAACAAAGTACACTTAGTCGTAAATGCATGTGACGGGAGCCAAAACTAATGTAACTTGTCAATTAAAAATCATCTCCTTTTGAATTTTGTTTCCTAATGAACTGAAACCTTGTTTTATTAATGTACTTTCATATACACACGTTTTTATCTAATCGGAGATAATTAATGGAAACACAAATGCATTTAGAGGTATAGCTATTTCTAGTACTTTAACTAGTACTTCTAGGTAGAGTGCAACATCAACAACACGACCAGTTACTTCGCGCATTGATATCAACTCAATGAGACCATTTACCACAGCAAAAAACGACACTAAACATACAGGCTATGGAATTTTGTGTTTTTCCATATCTAATATTCGGCCTAATTATGACAATTAATCTATACAAATACCTACAACTGTACATACCCACACTTACAGCACAAGTACAATAGCCATAATACACGACAAAAGCGACCCATCTTTTTTCTGAGACCTCCTTTTTTTTTTTCCAGTCCGTGTGCCCCTTACAGGAAGGAGTCGACAACCGTTTTAAAAGGAACTTTTCAGGTCGTGCTCTGTAAAATACATAATTGTGGGTAAAAATATGCTTTAATTAAAGAAGTAAGTTTGTTGGTTGAGTGAAACTTGTTCTTACACTTACATCACGTTTCAGTTGTCTATTAATTATAAATTAGTAGTAACTGGCAGCACCTTATTACAGTGCCGCCATTTCCTAAACTTTAAGCAAGCCAGCTGTATTCCTCTCAAACGTGAATATATGGAAAATATGTATTGCTCTTTTTTCATGGGTTATGCGTTATGCTTATTACTTCTTATTTCGAACATTTGCCCGCTAACATGGCTTAAAAAATGACCAGGCGTTTCTCGGAATCGCGCCAAGACCACATTCGTCTCCATAACTGAATCCTTATTTTGGGTTCGTGTTGTGTAAATACTCTTAGGTCTCCAACGAGAATATACGATTATGAATTTCGGCTTGAAACCGCAAAAGTGGCAAAGATGATCGACATGCTCCAACATGTCATTCATTGCAGCTTGTTTTTAATCAACTGACTACTGAAATGCACAACAGATAAAAGGGCAGATTTTTTTTACAAGTACACGTCAATCGACGCAGCTTTTCACGCTTAGGTTCATTTTCGCAAAGACGCTTCGTTTCTTTGCATAGAGCTCTTTTTATTTTTGCATTAGGATCAAATATCGGTGCCTTATTATCTCATTGGAAGGATGCTCCAAGTACTAAGCGCAGAAAAACTGTCCCAAAAAAAAAAAATATATATATATATATATATATATATATATATATATATATATCGGTAAATAACAGCCCAGTTATCTTATTTTTTTCGATTAAAACCAGTTAAGTACAAAATAATTGAAGACATTTCTTAAAACATATCTTTGTATACCGGATCCGTAACCTTGCGAAATGCCCTGAAAGCATTGTATTCAATAGTTTACAGTAAAAAAAAATACGTTTTACTTATTACTTTTAGACGCAGTACTGCTTAGGTAGATGGTTTCATTATATAATCGAAACTTTTATGATTGTATTTTATAGATACAGAACATTTTGATACAGAATAAAGGACAGCATTATTAATCCATTTCAGCTTATCCCTATCTTTGCCAAGACCAGATGCTCTATATATAAATTACCGACACAAACGGTTGCGAAAAAACGGTGATCCCTTCACCAACGTACTTTTTATAATAACCTGGCTAGTGGCTTCAGCATTCCCCTTTAATACATATATTGTCTACCTCAATAGACGCCTGGCAGGCTGCGTGATTCGGTCGTTTTTATAGGTGCGGTAACACATAGGCTTTGTCATTATCACCAATTGCTACAAACTTACGAAGGAACTACTAGGGAGGGACTAAGCAGTTGGTCAAAGACTGACAACACAGCGGCTGAGGCTTCCATAGCCCAACTGCGTCCGAATAAACAGTCGTTTACCATCTGTTCCTGACAATACCAATATGTAAAATTATGGAATGTCCAAACTGCGCATGTTTTAAATAAATTTTAGATAAATAAATGTACACAGGTACATCAGAATATACTAACGACTTATAGGGACTTTTAGCAAAATTAAAGGAAGCCTCATTTGGTCAGCTGGTCGCGCTCACCTTCCTCTAGACAACTGAAATAATTGTTACACTTTAAGAGCAAGCAATAAATGCAAATATTATGATGCATTTGATACTCACTATGTATAATTCATACCACAATTTAAACAAGAATAAACGAAGTAAAAAAAAAAGTTTATTATACCCCATAAACAATAGGCGAGAATCTAAGTACTAATGGACAAAAAATATCGTGAAATCAAGAAAAGCCCTCAACGAAGCAGGGAAGCCACGTAGCCTAAATAGGGTAATTGGCTAAATAAAGTAATTTAGAAAACCCAGAACCTACTTGCACAAGAAGACTGAGCTGACCAAAAAGAAGAATCGGTAAAAGTCTATTGAAGTCGAAAAACAAAAATAGCAAAAGAAGCAGTACTATAGGGGGTACCACCGAACGCTGCTGGGCATATATCAAGCAGCTATCGGAGAACCCTTCGAGAAATGGCTGCTAGGATGTCGCTTGAAGTCAATTCCCAAAAATAATGAAAAAGGACTAGCGAAACCTGTTGGCCTAAATCTGTTGAAGCATCGAGTTGATATTGGTCACTCCGCCTTTTTACAGCAGTGGCTAGGAAATCTTAGCATGTAGAAACTGAACAAAAAAACGGAAGAAAATTAAGTGTTTGGAAAAAAAACAGTTCTAGCTTAAGAGGGATTAGTCTACGTTTTCTGCCATTAAGTCTGTCCCAAAAGAGAAGAGTAAGATCCTTCGAAAACCAATAATTTTGTTTGGCTATGCTCTAGGCCGTAAGGAATGCTTTTCACTCGAGGAACTG